CAGCTTTATGATCCAGGCAGAGCCAATGTGCAGTGCTGGTAGCAGCAAGGATCATGGTCCCAGCACTAGTGTCCTAACAAAGAATCTCAGGCAGTTTTTCCTGCATCAGATCCTAACTTCTGCTTCAGTAACAACATCACAGGGAGAAAACTGTTTTACCTTGATTGGAAGCCTTTCAAGAAAAGACAATGTACTCCTAGGTGCTTTGTTCCAACAAGTCTTAATTCTAAAATATCCCCTCTTATACCAATTACCTTCAATCAGAAAAATGATTATTCCCAGATTTTATATAATACCACCGATGTGGAAGAGGTCAAGATCTCGGTCTCATGACTGCTGAAAGATGAGCTGAGTCCAGTATCTAATGGAAAAGACAAAAGTGTATCATGTATATTTCTTTTTAGAGAGTAAAAACTTGTCAGTTCACCTTCAGAGCTTTTTTTCCACATCCAAAAACAACAGAAGGAAATGAGAACTCCTTTCCTCAACATTCTGCAAAAGCCACCAGGAAAAAGCCATTAGAAGATGGACCAGTATCACCAGAAACAGCTGTTTCACAAGCCAATAGATCAATGGGCTTAAATGAGAATGCCATGCATGTTGGCATTTTCTTTTTGTAATTCCCCACTGCTTTGAATCCAAATATAAAGACTGAAATCCCATCTGCCATGTATTGAATAGGGCAAGGACTTCTCCCTAAGGACAGGTTTTTAGAGAGCATTGCTGAAGAGGGCTTACTGTATAGAACAAAAGCTGTCTAGCTTGCCTTTTGGAAAAGGATGAAGAATTTTTTCATAGTAAGTTACCTAGGACCTGACTTGTATGCTCCATGGGAATTACGCTTACCGTAGCAGGTATTCATTATCTATTGATTCTTTAGCACTCAGTGCGGTTCATGAACCCACTTTTTCCCCCTCTATACCTAAATGACAATCCAAATAATAATTTTTAAGTGTATGAAATTTTTTAGATCATAGATTGCATATAGAAAAAGTCATAGATTGCAAATGGAAAAATATACATTTTATATGTTGTCTTTCTTCCCTTTTACAAAGGTGTAGACCTACAGACCTTACTTGAAGACTGTGTTTCTAATATATAGTACTTAATGAAAACTAAATGTTTGAGCCAAGGGATAATCACTTATATATTTTTGAGAGAGAAAAATCCAAGAAAATTAAAGATACTATGGACTAAGATACAGATTTAAGAAGCTACTTAAACAGGCATTTAATTTAAAACAGGAGTAATCCTTCTTTTTTAAACAGACTTGGACACTGTATTTTTTTTAATCAGAAGAGTCTCATATAATTACCTGACCACTGCCTGCAGCCATGAAAGCCTCAATATATAAAGACTAAATAACACTTTTGGAGCCAGGCATATAATTAAGAATATTTTCAAAACAGAGTCTGCTACCATAGAGATTGGTGTGAATTTCCTTCAATATAAAAAAAAAGGGCTCTGAATTTGGGTCTGTGTCCTGTGTTGGCACAACACAAGACAATGCTATAATTAATGTACAAATACATTTGCAAGAATTCCTGTCCCCCTCCACAAATTCCTAAACCAAACAAGAAAAAAAAAAAGACAAATGCAATGTTCCATCAGATGTAATCTGTGATGGCATCCAACATGGGAGTGACAGAGCAGAACTAGGACTCAGCTCTTCTGGTCCCCAGTCAAGTGCTCTCTCCTCTGCACCAAATCACCCCCCTGATAAGTGTTACGGCTAGGTTCAGCTGTCTTGAGAGAATGCAAAATCCTTGCTGAATTTACAGTAGTGTTATCTCATTCTCACTTAACAACAAAAAAACCTTCTGCCTTTTTAAGAGTTTGAAATGCAAAGGCAAAGCTTTGCTCTAGGGCTGCACCAGGATGAGAGAGGAGAGAGAAATCATTACTTGCAACCCAGGAGGACTTGGCTTACAAATAGGTTGAAAGAAATACATATGACTGGAGGCACAAGGAGTGTTATTGAGCAGAAGTGCTACTTGAAATTGGGAATCTTTGAGAGATTGCTGTTTTCTTTGTCTAAAATGTTGTTTGTCATTCTTGTCCAATCATTCAACTAATGTGTTAGGGAATCCTCGGGCTTAATAGCAAGATCTAAGGAAAGGACAAAGTGTGTCAGCTAAATCTTCAAATTCTTTTGCCTTCACAGAGTAATATCAACTCCTAAATGTTACTTGAGAATTGTTTCTAGCACTGAGAATACATAGATGGTGCAGGATCAATCTGTTGCCATCCTGCCACACTGCTAGCACTACAAAGCGCTTTGCATGTGTTTGTAAACGAGGCTGCTGTGGACAGCCCGTGTTTTTAAAGGTAGGAGCTCTTTCTCCTGGCTCCTCTGGATGGAGATCTCACTGGAGCACAGAGGGAGGTCACCCATGGAGGCTACAGCTGCGAAAAAACTCAGAGCCTAAATCTGAGCTCCTGGGAATAATTGTGCTGACTAGCTAAAGTTAAACAGGCAGGGAAACCACTGTTTGCTGAACACATTACCTATCGGTGCTGTTATCACACCATGTGAGTTAACTGTAGCATGTATGTTACAGTGTTTACCGAGCACCATCAACTGTGCCAAGAAACTTTACCCAGAGAGTACGATACAGTACAGCCTCTCAGTGCCAGTAACTCAGTACTGGTCTATGTAAGAAGATAAATCTTCCCAGTCCAATGAGATTCACTCAGACCATCTCAGAAGAAAAGCACAACTATGCACTGAAGGAAAAAATCCCATTTCAAAGCTGGAGAGTAAAGTAACTTGGAATGACAGTGAATTGTTCGCATGTGGTGAAACGTCACCTCTGGGAGTCTTGCATCTTGTTAGGTCTTTGCACCGCTTTGAGATCTGCTCGCACAGTCCCCTCGCAGCAGACGCTAACATGTGCTAAAGGGCTTCACGCAAGCAGCATAAGAACCAATGTCTGAACTGAGCCTGAACGCAGGTGTGCCTCCATGCCGCTTAAACGGCAGGACAACCCGCCTCCATCTGTCATTAATTTGGGTAATGTTGTGTAGAAAATCTGAGAGACAACTATAAAGCAATGCGGGGAGTTCATTGTCCTTGGAACAAAGACACAGTAACGCAGCACTCTGGGGGCCAAATTCTCCACAGGATTCTGGCATTAGCATCAGTGACAATAAGGAAACTGTTCAACAGGAACAGTCTCTCTATCTAAGGATGCTACACTAGTTGCTCAGATTCAGCAAAGCACATACAAGTACATTTAAGCTCCAGCTGTACACTGGAATTTGTTTCTATTCATTAAATATATATAAGGACACACAGAAGCACAGATAGCCTTAAGTCAGAAAGTGAATCTACCCACCTTAGAAAAGTAAAAAAACCATGACATAACCCTAGAACTGATTTAGCCTTTCCCGAGTGGTTAACAATTTTTTCTCTGCACAATTTTGTGCTCAATTTGTCTCACCATTCAGTTCAAACAAGGTTTTGGATAGAAATTCCTAGAACCCTTTCCAGTCTTGCATCCTTAAACCAACTGTTGCCGTAATTATGTTTTTTTTTCAGCATACAGCCTAATCATTTCCTGGGCTGTTGGCACTATGGATCTTGTATGCAGCTACAGCAGGCAATATGGAGCACCTTACCTAGACCTTGTCTGTCTACCATAATTCATGCAACTGAGTCAATGGGCTTGGGGCAAATGAGCAAAGCTGATATGAATGCTTAAAATTAGGCATGAGCTCAAGTACTCTGCTAAATCAGGACGTTTCTCAGGAATGATAAATGTGAAAAACATGGAAAAGCAGGGTGAGTCCATATGGATTGAAGACATAAGAAATTACTTGTTCAGCATCAGGCAAAGTATTTGCATACATTACAGTGGTCTTTGGACTGTGAGAATAAATACTTTTCTAATGCCCATTATTGGTCAAAAAAAGCAAAAGCATGGAAACATGCCTTTAAGATAAATATAACAGGTGCTCTTATAAAGGTAATTTATTTGCAATTAACTCCTATTTCTGAGTTCAGTTTTCAAAATAACCTCTGCACTGAACTTTACTTGTTAACTTTACAATCATAAACTTGAACTCTGATTTTGTGAAGACACCCTTCTACCTTGTGTAACTGGCAGCATAATTAAAGCACAGCCAAACAGATAGATCCAGAATGGTTCTACAGAATTCACCCTTTTGCAAGTTACAGATGGTTTAAAAAAACAACACATGAAAAGAACATGGACCATTCTCTCGGTGGATATGACAAACCTCACCAGCGAAGCTAAGGTAAATTGTTATTAACAGCCCAACTGCTAATTCAGTTTTAACAACCACCAACTGCTAATTCAGCTGAAGACCGCAGCTGGAGGTATCAGGGTGACAAATTCAAGTCAGGCATGCTAGAGGAGCTGGGAATCTGGACTCAGAGCATCTGATACACAAAACGACGAGTACATACGTGCCAACAGTGTGCAGCATTCCAACAGAATCTAGTGTGTCTTGGGGTCATCCATATGCTCCACCATATGTCCATGAGGAGAGGGGTCCAGAATCACAGTCTCTGGAAAGGGTAGGTCTCCCAGGCTCTCAAGATACCAGCCAGGATCCCAATTTTGCTGTATTAATTGGTGTGTAAGCACCTGTATTCCCTCCAAGAAACTAGTGATGTTAGCTCTGAGGGCAAATATGGAACATAATCAACTGCTTGCTGATTCAGAAGCTGGCTTCCCCAGAGCACATTCTACTAGGGAAGAAAAAGTTGCTCTGGGCTGTGTTTCTTCAGAGCCAATCCAACCTCTGTGCATTAACTACAAAGGCGCTGCAGCAACAGAGGTGTTACCATGTAAAACAGCAATACTGATGAGCAGCTAGAAACAGACTGGATTTTAATAGCCTAGCATAGGGGAATACAAGTTCCAGCACACTCAGTAGATGACAGGTTTCTTTATTATGCCTTGTATTCTGTTCTTCAGTTACATTTTTCTGGGGACAATTAACTGCAGTGTATTCTTACATTTCAGTCCTACCTTATCGCTGTCCACTGTGTTCTGTGATGTCCTGGATGCAATGGAAATGGTGTCGGGTTGACTGCTGCCATCTCCTTGGCTATCTGCATCATCTACTCCCTCTCTGCAAAAGTCATAACAGGGAAACAACGCTCACTTAACACATCGCCTTGGAATGTGCACAACTTTATAGGTGGATTTGAGAAGTGCCAAGTCAGTGTGCCAGAGCTGGTTTAGTGCTAAAATTACCTCACTGATGTTGTTATGTAGCTTGCAATTTGAAATGATGTCACCCTCAGCCATAGGGTTGGGATTAGCACATAATCGCAACATTTGGTGCTGGAAACAGGATGGCAGTTGCCTGCATATTTACAGCATGGAAGACTCTGGCGTTCAGAAATAGCTCGGTAATGAGGGTGTTGGGCAGAAATTTTCCTTCAGTTTGATTTCTGCCTTAACCAAAACCATTCATCCCAGACTACAAGTGACACTGAAAGAAGTCACACAGTCTTGTCTCACAGGAACCACAGTTTCAGGAATTTAATACTAGGCCATAAAAATGATATCTAAACAAACACAAATAAAGACAGTGTACAGTTCTACAAGTCTACCTCTATGAGTCTGCTAACAGAATGTATTTTCTTCCCTTCTGCTATATAGATATAGTTCTCCTACATTTTTATGGGTCTTTCAAAATAAACATTTAAATAATACAAAATACATAATCAAGGAAAAAAAATTAAGATCCTCATTCTGTATTAGAAAATTTTTGTATTGGTGCATGTCCCCGGGAAGAAATGTCTGGATCTCTGCCTTGCTACAGATCTCTTGGGTGACCTTGCCACTCATGATTTGGATGCCTCTATAATACAGCCTGAAGTAAGAGAGTGATAAAACTTAATGAAAAAAACGAAGATGCTCAAATTACAGGTGACTTTTGGGAGTGCCAGCATGACAGCAAATTAAAAATTTATTATCTATAATTTCTACTTAATCCAGGATTCAAAGAAGTTGCCCCCCCCAAAAAAAATATTACTTCACAGGCTGGAATGAGTTTGTATTTGATGATGAAACACAAATTCTCCACTAGTAATATATCATCATGACCAGCTGTGATTTTCATTATCGAACAATTCAAAATGCCAAACAGCGAAAAAAAAAATTAGCTAATACTCAAATGTGAGAAAGTAAATTCTACTTTGGGAAAGAAACATAACCTTGGACTCTGAAAAATCTTTACTGCTAATTTCTCTCCACTACTTTGGAGCACTAAAATAAAAGGCCTCTGTATGTATATAATAGAAAAGCTTTCTAGCTACTTTTGCCAAGACAACATGTAAAAACCAAAGATGACTAAAATCGCTTTTGACTACAGTAAGAAAAAGTAAGTGAATCCAGTAAAAATTCCACAGACACTACACTGCTGTTGGTTGAGAAAACACTAGTGATTTCACATTGTATGGAGTTACTGGGATTACCTTCTACTGTTGTTTCGCTGCTTTGCTGGTGTCTTGGGGAGCTGAATTGGCTCTTTCAGAGCTCCTTTCAGATGGATAATTCTTTCTTGAATGACTTCTCGGATATTTTTGATCCATTCCTGTTTTGTTTCAATACTGGATGCCTAACGTTCCACAAGGCAGAAAGACAGAGACTTTATCGTATTCCCAGCATGCAGAAGAATAGTGGCTGGCTGATGAAAATGCATGATTAACTGTTTCTCCTCTCTGCTGTATTGTTTTAGCTGCTGGAGTACCTGGTAACCCCAGGAGAACTGAAGGTATTTTTACCAGACGTACTTGGCAAGCAACAGCAAAGCAGCTAAGCTCTGGATAAATATGTTTAACGCTAGCAATACAGCACACTCTGTGGAGGGGAAATAGGTTATCAGTGCACAGCTGGGATTTCCTCAGACAAAATAACTATAACATGAATTCTTTGTTAGAAACTCACTTGATGGAAATAGCTGTCAGCTCTGGAGGTTTGAGGAATAGGCTGATTGTCGATAAACCCAATGGAAAATGACTAAGAGAATTACACCCCCCAGCCAAACACCCTGAGATGCACCCCATGTGCAGCTGCTCAACCCAGGTTGCAAAAGCAGATGCAATTTCAGCAAGGCTGCACAGCTGCACTGTCTTGATTCATACTCAGATCTTAAGAGTTGAATTGCTCCTGATGCAGGCATGACCCTGCTGACAGACACGGAAGCCATGCAAATACAAGGAGGGAAGAAACTGACCTTTCATTTAGTCCTCCCAAGGCCTCAACTAGCAGCTCTATAGGCAAAGAGAACAAGCGGAAAAGACTTACTTTCAGCACTGTTTTATTGTCTGAGGATGGTGTTCGTCCAGACCACAAGGCAAATTTACAGGGATCTCCTTCAACGTGTTCGGTCACTCCCAGTTCTGAGGTCTAGTGTGGAGGAGAGATGATGAGAGATTTCATATATATGTGAAGCCTCGTGAATCCAGAAAACTTTACACTTGTAGGGAGAAGCGGGGAGGCAGGGATGGATAAGGGAGTAAGGTCTTGCCTCTGCTTTGCTACACACAAATAAAAGAAATGGAAAACCAGCAGTGGATGGCAGGAAAGTGAATGGCTTGAGTGATCCTCCTTGAATTTCCCACCCACCCTTCACATTTCACTATCTTAAATGTCTCCAGACTCACTGTGAGCTTCTAGGTGAGCCCTGCAGGGCCCAGAGCCAGCCCTTCCAGGTGGCATAAGTACCCCCAACCCAGCAGAGGAACATGTGAGCCACCCCCCAAACTCCACTTCTACCTACAAGAAACACATCACCCAGAATATTTCCTTTGCAGCCACACCTACCAGTAACTTGTTCTTGTAAACATATTTTGTGTGTCCTGAAGAATCTTTGATCTCTTTGCTAAACACCAAAGAGATTTCAAAGAGAAACAAATGCCTCTCACGGCCTTTCCGAATGAGAGACTTGGGATCCCAGACTTGGAAGGAATCCTGAAGAATCAGCTCTCCCTGGACATCCAGGTTCTCATCAAACCCTAAAACCACAAAAGACATTGGCTTGTATTTACAGGACCAGTAATGCCCAGAAACACAAGAGCAGTAAGAACTTGAAATAAAAGAGCCTTTCTGCTTTTTAATGCATATTCTGACATTAATGAGCACCCATTGACCCAGTGAAAATATTTTTTTTCCCGCTGCAATGGAAGAATTATTTAACCAGAGGCAAATACATCATATGTGCTAAATGAAACTGCTGCTAAGTGTAGTAGTAATTACTTAAAGATAAATATTGTAAGGGTTTCAGTGGCAGTTACCGTACACAGAACTGCAATGCAAGGAATTTTATGCACATCAACGCAAATTCAGAGAAATGTAATGTGGTGTCTGGAAGTGCACCATCATACCACGATACCTTCAAGTATGCTAACCCAACCTTCAAGGGACTGGGAGTCCCCAGCAGTGGCATGAGGGAGCTACATCTACAAGAGTGAGCTGCTATGGTGTCTGAAACAAGCTCTCCAGGAGAAGCTTCTTATCTTCCAAGCTGCATGTCAAAAACCTTCACATGGCTGAGGATCACAGGACTCCCTCCACACAACTGGGAGGCTTGAGGGAAAAGGGTGTCCCTAGTGCAAGGTGCCCTCCAAGCTGCTGTCTCAGTGGCTGCTGTCTCAGCAGCTTGTGGGTCACACTTCTCTCCAGAGCTGTGGACTGCTCCTCCACCAGCACAGCCTGCTGTTGCTCATGTCTGATGGCCCTGAGAGAGAAGCAAGCAGCCCTTGTCCATGCTCCAAATATTCAGGAATAATGTTTTATTCAGAAGACAACTGTCCAAGTGCTTGTCTACCCCAACAAAGTCATCCCTGCTTCTTTATTATTGAGTGGTGCTAGTAATCCCATGGAGCCAGATTATCCAGGTGTTATTTTGGGAAATCTTGCTTTTCACCAGGCACCGCAGTCAAAACCTTCTTTATAGTGTTTCTACATATGCTGGGTCAGTTTGCCCCCCTGCAATTTCAATCACCTGGTCTTAATGTGCTGCTTAGCTACTGGCACCATTTCCTTTTTCATGTCTGTTTCTGTACTCTTCTTGTTTCCTGGTTCTGACTTAAACCAGCCTGGAAATTATTTTCCCAGGTCAAGAAAATATTTGAGACAAAATAAAGCATCTCTTTCCAGAATAAAATTTTTAAATTTCAGAAAAACCTCCACACATCAAAAAGCCAGTAAAAGACTTAACTTTGGGGCAAAGTATTTTCTCCTGTAATTCTAAAGTACTTTTTAATAATACTTTTTTCTTTTTCTTCTCTTTTTTTTAATCTTTGGGATAATTATACTAACATTTTGAAATACAAGCTGTTTTGACTCAGAAAACCGGAACTTTTTCTTTTGAAATGCTGACATGGTATTTAGAAATGTTTTCATCCAATAATAGTTATGTCTGCCAGCAGCTAAACTGATACTGTTTCAGGAGGGGTTTTTTTTTGTTTCATTAAGCAAAAATGTTTTAACCAAATATAGATATATACACACATACACTTATGTACAAATATATACACATAAATACATATATACACACATATAAGATATAAATAAATAAAACCCCAAAACTTCCTAACCAGCTTTAGTCTTCCAAGACTTCTAGAGAAATATCAGAAAGGAGCTAGGAAATATCTGAAAATTATGATCTAGCAACAGTATTGCTACAGTCAACCTGTACTAACTTTCTAAATGAGTTACAAGAAGGCTTCATTTATTGGTGGATCCCTCCCCTGCCCTGGCCACCTGCCCATCTGCTACCTTCCAGCATGCTGACATGCATTGCGTCGTTGGCCTTCTTTGGGACACTGAGCATCACTTCCAGACCATCTTTGAGCTCCCCTTTGCCCTCCTCACAGCAGGTTAGCAGTTCCTAAGAAGCAATGAAGAACATCTATAAACAAACTCTGACCAACATGCTGGCTTTATATTCGATTGTGTTACTTGGTACATCCAACTGCTTCACTAAGAGTGACAGAAGAAAAAACCCACTGTGGATGCTCACAGATAGTGGGGATCAAATGGGAATGACTACAAAACAAGGTGCTCTTGAGTGAGACTGTGCCAGTACCATATCTGGTCTAGCTATTCAGAGTCAGAATCTGTCTCTTTCCTTATCCCTCAGACATTTATTTTTCTCTGGTTTACTAGTTTTGAAGTGAACAGTGGCTGTAGATCTAAAATTCACTTGCTCACAAGACACTGCAAAAACCTGTAACCAACTTACAACAAATCAACAAAAGTTTGGGGTTTTTATGGGAAATGTACATGTTTCATTTGAAAGTCCTTTGCTTCGTAAATGAAGCTTTTCCCTGTTTTTCAAACACAAATGTGTTCGCTTCCCAACAGAATCTAATGCCAGTGAAAGAGTCTCAGTCAAGAGCCAGTGAAATTTCCCAAAGATCATCACTGCTGTCATTGAAGCCTTTAATCAAAATATTACATGTCACAAACTTAGCAATAAGGAAAGTAAACAGTTCTATCATCCCTTCAATTTCCCTTTCCCAGTTCTCGCTTTTTAGGGTTAAATCCACTTGGATAAAAAAACCCAAACAACAGTTGAAACAGGTGATCAGTTTTTTACTGTTTGTTTTTTTCCTTCCTGTGAGCATTTTTCTCTAAAACACCCAACCTGATTTCACACTGTGTTGCCATGATCAGGCCTGGGAAGTAGGAGCAACAGCTGCTTACAGGTCACGAGCAGGTGATGAAGCAGCTCCTTTAAGAGTAAGTGACCTCACTAGACCTGTGAACTGCTCTGCATGAGCTGATTTGGGCAGCTCACTAAGGTACCTTCAGTAGGAGTTGATATTTTGTGATCCTCTGGACAGGCTTTATTAAATAAGAAGAGATAGAGTTGGCCAGACCGTGTCTTTGCTGAATTTCCTAGAAGAGATAAAAAACAGCAGTCAGTCACGAAAACTATTAATCCCTGGCCAAACAACCACTCATAACTAATGTCAGCTCTGGATCTCTGCATTTGTTTGTTTAGTTTTTTCACTCTCTTTAAGCTCACATGCAAATAACTGGTTTCGGAGAGGCTGGCAATAAACTGCAGAGTCCTAAGGCCACTTAAACAGCAGGGGCCCTATGGAAGTAAAGCTCAGCGTATGTTGAGTAAACTACACAGGCTTCAATTTAAATATGACTTAGGTGTCATGTCAACTGGTTTCTCCTAGCTACAAAGGCTGAACGCAGTCTTAACATTCAATTAAAATGGAGTGCCATTAAATTAAATTGCATGTGTAGGGTGTAATTTAGCTGTCTAAACATAAGCATCTCGTGCCATTTGAGAGCCCTGGGAGAGCTGAAATATCCACATGGGAGTAACAGGTTTGACTCAGTGCTGACAGACCTATGCTATTCCAAGGTGGCAGCTGGGGACCAGGAGAAATACCCTTATGATACCTTTCACGGCACTGAATACTTCTGTCACAGGAATCTCAACCAAAATGTCTGTGCTGATCAGTGTGATGTGCTCGTGAACTTCTGGAGACATTGCAGACAGGCACCTGGTGAGGTCTGCAACTGGTTCCAGTGGGAATTAGGAAAAATTCTACAGGACCCTAATGCACATAGCCATCTAAAAGACTTCAAATTCATGCCCTACAGGGGCAGATTCTCTGCTGAAACAGAACAGGTTGGAATTCCATCTCTGCTGGGCCCTGGGCATGACTCCCCTTGGTCCTGGCCATCAGGAAATCCTTGGTTCCTAAGGAAGCAGAGGGGAGGGGGAATGGGACTTATCTCCAGCTATTAGAGGGTAAATTTGAGGCTGTAAAGGGAAGATGTTACAGAAGATGAAGGGGGAAGAACTGCCAAGAATGGAGATTTTCTTTCTGTATACAGTCTAATTTTCTGCGGAGAACTAGGGAGGTTACGGGGTTTTTTTACCTCCAGTGTTTATCTTTATGCTGGGATGAAAAATAGCCACTTTTCACACAATATGCCAACAGATTTTTTTTTTTTTTTTTGTACTAGACAAGATTGTTTTAGAAAAAAAAGTATCTCTGGTGCCATGAACAAGACCAAAAAGGGAAGGGGCTGTGGGGGGTGGTGGTTAATGGAGTTTGCATGAAGCTGAGTCATGGCTGGCTCCAAACAGGGACATTGTCTGCAGCACGTGGCTGGGACTCAGTCAGTAACTGCAGGAGCCAGCAAGACCTCAGCCATGGTTGTGAACTTCCTGGAGCTGCCAGAGTACACTTGTTTTTATAGGATCCAAGTAACGAATTCAGAGCTACTCCTTCCCCTTAGCTCTCAAAATAGCAAGGCATGCTCCCAACAAGATGGCTCCCTTTCTGGCGTTCCTTGCTCTGCAACAACAGAATCCCAGACAAACACCAAAAACATCCTCTGCACAGGGCAGCGCAGGACCCTCAGAGGCCCTTGGATGAACAACATAGAGACAGGAATACTTAGAGACAATTTCATACCATAAGAATTGCTGAATTTAGCACGAAGCAGTGATAAAGTGCCCAGGTTTTGTATCAAACATCTAAAGAGATTCACAGATTAAGATAAGTCATCTACTTGTGTACGGTTGTTTAGTAGGAGGACAAACTGCATCCTGAGTGTACAGACCAACGGGTCGATGACTACACTGATTCATTTAGGTTTTGTAATGCATGACACATCTTTGGTGAGCAATTTCAGAAAAAAAAGTATTACTAAGGAGAAACTAAGACTGTGCTTGCATCTCTGCTAATTTCCTAAGGGACACTCCAGCTCAGCGGAGAAACTGTCCAAGGACCATCTTATCAATGCAGAAACACAATGCTCTGCAAAGTCAATGGGCTTTACCATGTTCCACTCTGTAAATGCTGGTAATCCAAACTGAAGGTGTCCCGTGGCTTCTGGAATATAACAGTTTATCTTTTCCAGGATTTAAAGGAAAAAAAATATTCAAAATAGCAGAAGCATATAGGTGACTGAACCAAACTCTTTGTCCTGAGGACCAAAGCTTACTTAAAAAACAGACACTAAAATGAACCCAATCACCTCAATAACATGCCGATTTCCAGCAGCTGAAGCTGAGGGCTAACACATGTTGGTAATCAAAAATATCTTGCTAGTCTGAAGTATACAGTACTACAAATATTAAAAATTGCTAAATGTGGTAAGCATCACTTATCTTTGAATGAATGAAGAACACAGTTTTAAGTAATGTAGTAATACTCTCAGATGATGAACAAGACAAATACAAAAAGTGAAATAACCAAATTAATGAGTCTACTGCAATTATGAAAGAGTAAGCACATTAGTTCCATTCCCTATGCAATTTCCAGCTAATATAACCATACCAACAACTTTTGTATTTTATAAACAAAGCATGATCTGTAGGGAGGGAAGACAGTAATTTTTACCCCATATTAGCATAATGCTATAGGATAAAATAGGCAAGTTTCACAATTGAGAGTTTTGTGCAAAATTTTCCACCTGTATCAAGTGGCCTAAGAAAATAAACTGCTTTTCTCTACATATACAGCTTCACTTACGTCCCTAGATCATCCCAGCTACAATAGCATCACTAGCAATTCTCTTCACAGTTTCAAACAAGATGTCACTTATCTCACTTTGCTTCTTCTCCTCATTAGCTAACCCTTGCAATGAGTCCTGAAGCTGCAAATTTTCCATGTACTTGAAGGGTTCAGACAGATTACTGGGACTGCTTGTTTTCATCTCAAAGGTGGCTTTCTACAACAGTTTATAGAATTATAGCAATTTGAGGGGTTGCAAACTTGTGGTCTTCAGGCAGGCTTCTTACTAAGGGGTGTTATTCTAGGTAACTCACTCTCATCATCAGGGTGTTTTGGGAAATTCCAGGTTCTGTCTGGAAGAAAAAAAATCCAGCCATTTCCTCTGAATTCCTCAGTCCAGAGTGTCCCCTCTCCTGCCACTGAACCACTGCCAGTCCAAGATCAAGATAAGAAGGATCTACAGGTACTTTGCAATACCTTAGTCACTCAGATTGAGTCACTCCTAGAGGATATTTTTGGGGGGATAGTCAGCTTTCTCTTTTTGCATAGGCATCACTGGGTAGCCCAGCACAATTCCCACCAGTGGAAGGAAAACGTCTCCCCTTGCAAAACAGCAGATGCTGACACGTGAATATTCACTATGAAGCAACATCAGACAGGTTTACATCCCATATACAGAACTGGAATGGAAAAGCTTATCAAGGGAAGCACTTTTAACCTGTGCAAACAACTCCGATAGACATCTAAGGCGGCTCAAACCCACCAGAATCACAAACCAGCACAAACCATTCAACAGGCTCAAGCGCCACCTCCCGGAAAATCCCCTTCAGTTCAACTCTATTTTAGACCATTTGGTAACAAGGCAAAAAATAAGGCAAAAGAAAAAGGTGTTCATCACTTTTCTTCTGGCTCATGTGAGATCTTTCAGTGTCGAGTTTAATTGAAATGCTGTAACCATTGGCACATAAAAAACCCAGAGGAGCTGATTCTTGTCAGCTGCCAACTACATCACAGTTTGGATCCCGCTGAATGGTTACATTTGTAAAAAAATTTTCAGTGCTTTGGAAAATAGGTCTCAGCATTTTTTTCAGAAAGGCAACTAATTAAAGCTATAAGGTAGCAGACAAGCATGGCAAAACAGATGAGGTTCCAAAAATCAGAGGGAAAGCTTAGTTTAAAAGTACTCAAAAACTTTAAAGATCTTTCTCAGCCTACAAAACGGGGATTGGAGCCTGCCAGTGTTTACCACCCCGTGTAGCAGTTGTAAGGGAAATAGTCTAACCGCAGTCAATGGAGTCCCTTACTAGCATGATGAAGCAAATGTTTAATAGGGTGAGTAAAATTTGCGGAACAGGAGAACAGGATCTTGTTCTGGACTTAGGGATTTCAGGTCATAAAATATAATGGGATCTGCTTTTCATTTTACCACTAAAACCAGAAGTAGAAAGTACATCTAAACCAAATCTTTAGAAAGGGTTGGGTCTGAAAAATTCACAAAGATTCCCACAAGAATGTGTGTCTCCCTTAAAAACAACTTGCCACACTGATGAAGATCACACATCGCACCACAGCCTATCAGTTTTCACAGCATGTGATATCTGCAGTGGAATGAAAAACTCAAATGCCAAAGCACAAAAAGGAGCCCGTTGCTCAGATGGAAAGAGGAGGTGTTTCAGCTGCACTATGAGTGCTGAAGGAAAATGGCAACGGCTGCTTACATCAAAGAAAGTCCCTGCATGTTCCAGGATGAGCTGGTTGGAGTCAGGCTTGTTTTTGCAGTAGGTGACATACATCTGAAATTTATCTGCCTGCGAAAACAAACATCAAGGGAAAAGCAAGATAAGCTATTTCTCCGCTCACACAGTCTTTCATTAAGGTTCACTATGATAAATGCAAGTGATAAACGCCCACCTCTCAAAGCAACACAAAAACTGCAAAGTAAGAACAGAAGACTTACAGACAGTTCATACCTTACCTGAGCAGTTCTGAGCGGAATGAGGTCCACCAGGTAGCAGCTATGGGGGGGCTTTCTTTAACACATATCACAGAAGGAAAGCCTAAAACTTTAATCGAACTATAAAATAATTTCTAAGAGGTCTAATTGCGTTACACTGATTGTATCCAAAAGTCTGCAGGTCTCAAAACCCAGTCATGAAGTGTTGGCTCTATCACCTACTTGCGGATAAATCCAGTGTAGAAACTCTGGGCAAGAGACTCACCTAGCTTAGGCTTGAGCCAACATTCTTGACTTGAGACTGGCTCAGATTTGTGACGCCTGGCCCAAACTTGCCTTTCCTACCTTGGTTCAGACTTTAATGGCTCAAACTTTATGTTGTGCTAGGAGTGTTTTGCATTTCATTTCCTAATTTATTTATTTTTAAAAGGAAATTAAAAGCATCTGTGCACTCCTGCCTTAGAACAGTTTTGCATTACTGAACTCTGGTCTCAGGAAGAGGCAGGCAAACAGAAGAGGAGGATGGCCTCCTTTTATTACTATTGCACTTTTTATATCAGGTATCTAAGTAGCAGGACCCTGCAATTGGGCTTGCAGCTTTGTATATATGTCTGTAACCATACACACAGCTCTGCACATGTATTATAGCTGAGATGACATGGTAGTATCTTAAAAGTACCACATAAATTTTGCACAGAATGATAGGTGAATGTACCCATCTTTCACAACTATGTAACCTCTTCTCTGTAAACAATATTTCTGAATCCATTTCATAAACATTTGTATCAGGTTTTTAAATTAAAAGCCCATTTGAAATCATTCAAACATGCTCATTTTTTTTGATAAGTGAAAATTTTCCATAATGACTTTTAAAATACCAATTCCCAGCTTTGAAATATGAATAAAACCATCAGAGAAAACATGAAGATGGCTGATTTGCCTGGAAAATATTTTGAAAAGAGAACAGCTTTCATACTGATAAATTACTGTAGCCAGTTCCTGGAGCCTCCTATGCCCATGAAGACTCTTAGCATCAAGATTTCAAAGTCCTGTTGGAAATTATCCTGGCATTGTGTAATAGAATAAGAGCACAGTGGCTCAGCAATTTGACACTAATTTCTGAAGAAAAATGTTGTTAAAATATGTTGTTCACATCTTTGTAGAAGTCTCATGGCATGACTAGAATTCTCTAAGGAAGATATATTAAGATTTTAAATGTCTGTCCTCCCAGGGTTTCTTCACAAATAAATTAATGTCACCCCTAGATACAGGTTTGATTTAACGAAGTCCTGTTAAACAGGAACCAGCAGAGGTAAAAGCTGTGCTGGTCAGTGCAGGCCAATGAGAGAGGCTCTGGAAAGCCTTCACACCACTTCTCAGGAGGACCTAAGGGAGGGAACCTTTCACCCCAGTAAAGGTGAAGGACAAACCAGTCGTTGTTCCAGATTAGATCCTTACCCCACTTATCACTAAGGACATAACCCTTGCACCAGTTCCCAGCTTGCTTCCGTCTATGCTGGAGGAATTAATTTGAATAAATAATTAAAAGAAGCCTCATTACCCAGGTGACAAAGCAGTGGCCCACATCCTCAGGCAGTTGTTCGTATTTCTCTAGTTCTTTTAGAAAAATGCTGAAAAAAAGAAGACACCAATATAATCAGTTACAGTCAAATACTCAGGAGATGCAGAATGACCAGTGAGTTAATCAGTGCTAATGATCAATACTTGTGTCTTGATTATGAGGCTAATCGAGTGTCCTGCCAGTGGAAAAAGTGTGTCCTTGCCAAGGTATGCTTTGGTTTTTGAGCACAGTCATGTCTGACTCCACTAGAAAGGAAAAGGTAGCAACCTCTAGTAGGGGGACAGTGTATTCAGAACTGCAAAGTAATATTCAAGAACTAGATCATGAATCTTCAAAAAGATCTTGTGCAGTGGTTCAGAAGAAGAACAAAAAGACAAGACCAGAGCTGCCAGCTTTCCATCACCAAACTCAGCACACCGGACAAAAGACAACAATTTGGACAAGTTTGACACTTCATAGGTAAGTAGTAAACTCCCAAAATATAGATTTCATAATCAACTCTCTCCCAACACCTTGTACCATGAGTGACATCTCTGTTTGCAGACAGAGCCCTGTACAATGCCTGGGTGGAAAGAGGAATGTGAAACAGAAGATACAGGAGAAGCAATGGAACATGCTGTTCCCCCGGCCCCTGGGGGATGCCTTAACATCACCAGCCAAAGGAGAAGATTGTGGAGGATGCTGGTGGAGGCAGGGGGGGTGGGACAATTTATTTTAGCATTGCTAGAAGTTTTAGTAGGAAAAGGATTATGTAATATGTAGTTTGAACCTCCTATCCTGATATACTCGGAAGCTGATTGCACAAAAGCATGCATATGGCAGCCTCTGCTGGACCATATTTATGTGTATGTGACGATGCATTTATCTGTGTGAAGCACTGAAAGTCTCCCAGAACTTCAACAGGGAACAGTCTTCTCATTTGTTTTTCAAACCATTTTGGTTTTGATGTGTAACTTGAAGACAGACTTTGAAACTCAGACTGAACTTGTGGGATTCAGCACCCCTAAACGTTAAGTTTATAACTGCTATTGCATTCACATTGCAGCAGGGAAACAATGCCCTCCAAGCTGATCTGATACACACTCACCTTGATAAAAGCAAGTACTGTTAGTTACAGATTAAATACAGAAAGTCTCCAAGAAGTAGTAGGAAAGCTACCTATTGACCCAGCTCATGTCAACTATTCCATTTTTCCCCCCCAATTGTTTTCCAAGAGATTCATGTTTTTTGGCAGGCAAGCTTCCAGACTAGATCCAGTGCTGTGAGATGGAAAGCATGTACAGGACTCCAAAGCATTGGTATAATCTAACTTTAACATTGTTAATCAGCCAAAGGCAAAGTTTAAATCAAGATGCAATTCATTTTTGTAAAAGAAACAAAACAAGAAATCAAACACTCTGTTGCAAAGCTGTATCAGTTACTTTACACTCCTGTGTGCATTGTACTGTAGGCGTTTGCTGCAGACACCACATAGATTAATAGGTATACAACATGCCTTTGGTTTACTTAGTCAGTAAACGTTAACAGAACTGCGAGGAAAACCTACTTGTTATGAAAGTCATATATCTCCTGAATATTGCCAAAGATGACGTGTTCTTTATTAAGGATCCCAGCGGGTATTTCTTCCACTCCACTCGTCATTTCCCAAAGGTAAGTCTGGAAGACACCAGCAATCCTTAGCTTTGTGAATAAATACAGTGAAAAAAGAATAGATCTCCCTCTTTCATTGCCAAAGGCACAGGCTGACAAGGGAACTATGTACTTTGAGATTAAACAAACAAGTTTTTTTAAAAAAAATATGTTCCAGTGTCACAGAAAGCTCTCCAGAGAAATTCAAAGTGCTGACACTTAGAAGTTGTCTGAGGAAAAAGCAGAAACATGCCAACACCACCTGTCTTTGCTGTCCAACTGATGGTGTCCAAAAACTTGCAGGCAGAAACAGTTGAAAGATGAACTGGATTTGCCACTTCAGTAGCATTAGATACATAAAAATATCTTTCAAACTGCAGGAATGTGAAAGCTGATGGATTTCACTGAAATACACTCTGCTTTTTGCCCTGAATATCACAGTCCCCTTCAGGAACACCCTGCTTTAGAGCTAGGCAAAGTACTTGACAGTGCAAATCCAGCTCTTTCTCTAGCATGAGATGATCCAAAGGAATAGATTTGAATTCTTAAGAAAATGCTCCATGACTCAAAAAAAAAAAAAAAAAAAAAAAAAAAGACTAGAAACCAACAAATTTCAGGTCAGCATGCAAATATATTGTTTTTTATTGAGTCCCAGGACATTGCACTCACTCTGCAGGGGTGAGTGCAGCTTTGTAAATAAACGCACACTCAGGTGTCCCAGGAGGTGCATATATTTACAGCCACACGTGGGGAGCACAGAACACGGTGGGAGACAAGCTCCCTCTGCTGCCCACCCAGCTCCCACCACCAGCAAGACACAGCTCTTGGCTAGCCACCAACAGCAGCACCCTCACACAGACTTTTGTCAAAGTCAGCCTTTGCAGTACAGTGAACACCATCACCGCAAAGGTTACCAAGTCTTTCCTGAAAATACTGGAGACTTCTCAGGCTGTAACTTACCTCTAAACATTCATGTAAGTCCCTGACATAAGCTTTTTCTGTCTGAAGCAGTTCAGCCATAATGAATCTGGAAAAAGCAAGCATTTCAGGTGTTTTGGGCATTACAGGCATTTGTACAATGAACAGAACACAAAACATCCTTCTGTTGTCTTCATGAATCAGTGTACTTCCAACCCAACCTTCAGCTGCCTCACTTCACACCTTTCAGCTCCAGGAATGAAATACCACTTCATACTCTAGTCCCTTGTAGGGTTATTTTCTAAATATCTTTTCTGTGTAAAATTCTGTTAAGGTGTATAGCTGCAACCCAGAGCTATTCCTGTAGTAGGAAATATTTCAAGTTCTCTCAGTTCTACACCCACTGAAATTTGAAGCTAAACTTCAAGAGATCTCTTGTGTCACTGAAACCCAGTTAACTCCTCTGGATGTCACTGGAATTTAGATAATACTTAGAAATATAAGTATTTTTATATTATATAAATGTAATTTTTTCCTATTCATTTTACTTTTCACATACAACCAGAAAGAACATGACAATGAGTATCTCCATGACATCAGGGTCTAATCGAAGTGCTTGACTCTCTCCTTTCCCTTTCCAGAAGTAACTTCTGACTAAAACCAAAAGAAATTCAACATGTGCGTTCTGAAATTCTCTGGCCTACAAGTCACTTCTGCCCTACACCCATAGACTTATCTCAATAGCTCTGCAGCTGGAAGGAGTTATAGGACTGTCAGTCAGTTCTGGTCATGCAAATATGATAGAATCACCCTTAGATAATGTGTCATGGCAGACTGTGAGTGTCTGGGGACATACTCTTTCTTTCTGGCCGACTTTCTTTTTTCTTCATTGACTTCATGATTTGCATCTCGCAGCTTTACCTCCCGGTCTGAAAGACTTGCTGGAATAATATCTAGTTCTAGGTCCTTGTTATCCTAAAAAAAAGTGACAGTACAGATTTTAAATTCATTATAATCTTACTGTTGTGCAAAATGCTGCATGTTCATGAGATCAAATGGAAAAGAAGGGACAAAAGTACAATAAAGATATTGATGTCAGAAAGAAGAAAATTCAAAGAGATTTAGAACTACAGTGAGAAGGTGAGAAAGAAGTCTTAAAAAAACACCAACTATGAGATTTCTTTATAGTCATCGCTGTTACTCCTATCTAGGAATAGGTATTGATGACAAATGTCTGAATTTTACCTTACTCCTTGACATCTAAATTAGTTGCCTACTATGTGACTTCATCAATAGTCTGATAAAGCAGGGCACTATGCAGAGACAATCCCAATTTCCAATGGCCTTCTGCCACGGAAAGACCTTTACAGACTGTGGTTAGCAACTCTGTGCAAACCAGAGACCCTAAAAGGAACACTGCATTTAAAGTATCTTGAGGGTGTAAGTGCAGGAATTTATTCCTCTTTCTTTGATACTTAATCTCAAAGGATGATTGACTGAAAGGTTTCTGCCTCTGGCACTCCCACTTAATACTCTGTCCAGGAAAGAGCAGGAGATTCTAATTTTTGTTTCCCTTGTGTTGCCCTATTTCACCTAAAAGAGCTCAGAGATGAGGCTGAGGATCAATTTTTTGGTTAGTTAAAGGATGAGAGAATGGAAACTTACAGTCAAAGCCTGAGCTTGATTCAAAATAACGGTGTGGGAGCAGGATATATGGCTTGTGCTAAATTAACACACTTTTATCACAATAATGTGTTTCTGCTCCTTCCCAGTAGCTGTATGGTCTCCTAGGGAATGATGCAAACTTTTGCTTAGAAAGTCTTTCTGATCTTCACCTGTCTCCTCCTCATATCACTGATCTGCCACAAAAAACCTTTTTCTCTTCAGGAAGAGTTACGCACTTGGCTAGGTTTTAAGTGTTTCTCACGGACACACAATAACCTGCAGCATTCATACCACAGCCTTCACTTCCTCCTGTGACATTCAGCTTTGGTATAAAGGACATGGACTTACAGTACCTCTGTATTGATTCCAAGGGCTTTTTCCAGGGAGTAGCGGTACTTTCCCATCCTGAGAGAGAAGTCACGGTAGTGTTTGTCAACGGTGGTGACCCACTTCCTAATTTCAGTGGCGTGTATATGTCCTTTTTCTACAAAGCTGTCAGCTAGCTGGATGAGGAGCTTCACTTTCTCCTTTGTTTGCTGCCCAAAATATGGTCCTCGGTTATGTTGCATTATTATTATTTCATTTGCTTTTTATTCACACAGCAATCACAAGCAGCTCACAGTTTTTTATACATCATTAAAGAGTGCCTGTACTTCATCTTATACAGGATCAGACGCTTTAAACTTTGCCCAGTAAAACTTTAAAGGAATAACATTTTTATAAGGACACTTATGAAGCTGCAGGAGACAGAAAAAGTCAAGTTTTTGAAACCACACACACAAACATATAAGGAAGACACGTTGGATGTTAGACATGCCTCCTTCCCATAACCAAAACCTTGTTGTGGTGAGCCTCAGAGTAGAAGACAGGATTTCAAAATCACACCTCATAAAATACACCAAGTTACTCTGAATCTATACCTAGGTGGTTCTGCAGACCTGTGCAGGCAGGTCATTAATACACCACATATCTCCCCAGGAAGTGAGTTTGAGTCACTACTACTCTGCTTCAGAAAGAAACAGAATTTAAATCCAAATTCCTGGTCTACTCTAAAATCCCCTGTCAGTATTTTAGTTCCAGTTAGAGCATCACAAACGAAAAGATGCCTGAACTCCAAAACATACACTGAGCCCCCAAACCTTCCAGAGGTTTTTTCTATTCCACTTGGGCTCTGACTGCCCCTTAGTCACTATGTTGAGGAACTTTGTGTAAATCTGGCACAAAAGAGTTAGTTATAAATTTTTGCTCAGATTCCAAATCTGTCACAGGAACTGAAGGTGCCTGGACCCTGTGTTTGAGCCAACTCAAGTACAAAATGCTTATAAAAACTGAGATATCAACTGTACAGGCTGGACTCCAGCTGTAACACACATGTTAATCCTCAAAAGCAAAAGGAGAATCACTAGTATCCCTAGAGGGACTGGCAAGCTGCTTTTCAGAGATAGGGAGAACTTTCCACTCTGCCTGAAGCAAGACATGCTGTCGGGTACTTGACATTATCAGCAATCTGGCCACAAATGGACAAATGCATGTCAGACCAGAAAACATCTTGCAGATTTCAAATACAAAATTAAATTAAAACAATTTCACCAGTGAAATAAATTAACAGATGAATCAGAGGCCATCTTAACAAATTAATTGAGTACTTCAGCAAGGTTAGGTAAGGAGGAGTAAAAATCTGACTTCCTGTCATATTTAAAGGGTGTTTCATTCCCAAAAGCTACTGGGGTTTTTGCTTTCCAAACAACTGGTTTGGCCAGAAGGTTATTGGGATCAGGAAGGCTTTTAGTTGCAGCTTAATTGGGGAATAATATCAGTCTGGGAGTGACATGCATTTACCAGATTGCAGGTGGCAGTGAAAATATTCTAGGTCAGCAGTAGGAAGGTGATTTACTAGAGCCCCAGGGAGCAAGACTAGATGTGTCAATGTAAGGAACAGCCAGTAAAGGAAAATAAGCAACAAGGTATAAAACTCAATCCTAGGCTAAGTCAATAGTAGAAGTAGTTTGGAAACTTCAGGATTAATTGGAATTATTCTGATTAAATTTAAATTATAAACTGGAATAGGGTTTCAGGCAGACTGATTACTGGTGGTTAGAGGCAAGAAGTACTGTTAAAGGACTATTGTATGGGTCTTGTCCGGTTAAATTAACTTCCATCCACTGCCAGTTATCTCCCATTCTCACAAAGATGCAAGCTAAAGAAAAAGGAAGGAGACAAGAAGAACAAAAAGACTGGGAATCAAACCCATGCAAGCATGGACAGCCTAATGAGGAATTTAAGGATTACAGAAGATCAATTTCAGGACACAGTGAAATGAAGCTACATAATACCAAAGCCACCGCCTTGATGCAGTCCAACTTTGCAATTCGGATCCTTATCAGTGACTGTTAATACCCCTGTGGATTCACTGTCTGTGAATTACCTATGGTTTGAATTAATTTGTCTGAAGCATATCCAGTCACCAATTCCTCTGTAAACCCCACCAGATTTCTCAGAACTGCTCCATATGAATTAATAAATTCTTGGTAATGGAGCTTTGTATTAAAAAATGTTCACCCCGGAGTTTACAAACCCATTTATTTAAAGTATTTTGTTGGGATCAGCAGATTATTTCTAATGAGATAAATGATCATCTGTGACCAACCCAGCTGGAATTAATGAAACAAATTGTGGTTGCAATAACAGAAGAAACAAACAGGGAATCCAAGATGACCTTGGATGTGTTCAGATCAGTTAGTTACTCTATACCATTTGTGTATGATTGTTTGAGGATGGAATTAGGGTTTGTCTTAATTAGGTTGCTGTGAACTCCGCATGCAAATGAACTTTATCTTCTGATCAGAACAAAATGCTCCATAACCAGTACAGACCAAGGGACAGAAAACCTCCTTTTTGTGCCCATGTCTTGCTAAAAATTAAAGATCACAGTTCTCAAAAAACATTTATCTTCTGGGCTAGAAATGTCAGGAGGAAAATAAAAAAAAATCAAGAGAATACTATCACAGAGATTTAAGGCATTGAAACAGGATCATAAACATAGACTAAGGCAAATGCCATAATTAGACTAAAGTCACTGTTTACCTTGGCAGGTACTCTGAATTCCCCATATTCCTTTAGGAGTTCCTGAGTTTCTTCTGCTGATTCCCCTGTGGAGTTGTGAGTAGAGAGGTAATATTCGCCTGTTTCTTGGATCCAGTCTAAGGCCTGTGAATGTCAAAAACAACCAAAGGAAAAACAAAACAAACAGTCTTTGTATTTCAAGAATTAATCCTCTGACAAAAAAAAAATATCTCTTAAATAAAGAATATGAAATCCATTGGGACTTAATAGTGTGTACACTAAAATACTTTCTAGAAACACATAAAAAGAAAACAATAATCAAAGCAGGTGGGAGAGGATACAAAAGATGCTGTATGTTTCCTAGGAGAAAAAGGAGTGTAGAACTTATATACAGATAAATCTGTTTTCAGGGAAAGCAGTTTTCTCATTCAAGTAATCGCTCAATAAAACAAGTTTGCTCTTATATTTATTTTCAAACAAATGAAAAAATACAGAAATTAATCTGACCTAGAAAAAACACTGAGTTTTGTTGTTGGGTTTTGAAATTTTCTTAAATGGCTTTAAAAATCTACATTTTGTATGTTTTCAAAAGTTGTTTTTAAATACAACTTGAGATTCCAGCAGGAACCCCACACAGAGGCATTACATGGATATAAGAAATATTTACACACTGCCAGGACAGAAAGACAAAGTGGGGTTTTTACACTACCTGCTTGGCACTGCGCTCAAAGACAACGTATTGTTGGCACTGATCTAATCTCCGCTTCTTCAGGGTCCAGAAGTGAAGGACCCGGTTCTCCCTCTGCAGCAGCTCGCTCAGAATGGCTGTAGGGCAAAGGAAAATGATTAGTGATTCCGTGAGTGCATACAGAAATAAACCATAAAAACTGAATTTATTCACGCTGCCTGGACTGCATTCTGAAGAACAGAACCCCTGAGACTGTACTTCTTAAAAACAAGCATTGTTTTATTCAAAGTGGCTACTTTAAAAAAACAAAACAAAACAAAACTCAACAAAAAAAAGTGCAGTGGCAGGGTTATCTGGTAAAGGAGAAGATGCTATAACAGAGTTTGGGATTTACCCTAGTAAATACACTGGTGTACATTATTTCCAGTCCTTTCATTCTCTTCTGTTGCTTATTTCAGGAGTCTGGTACTGGTTGACAAAGGAGAAGTTGCCGTTTTACTGCCTTGTCTGTTGCTCTGGCCACAGGCTACCGAGCACTTGGCACCAAAGCCTGCTGTCCCATGCAGAGCTCTCATCAGTCCTGAGCCCCCAGTATGACATACCTGGTAAAGTTTTTTGTACAGCTGTGCTGCCTGGTGACCTTCTCCGTGCTCCCTGTGCAGTTACTGCTGGGCTACGATTTTGGGCTGAGGCCTGGTACTGGTCCTCTAAAGTGTTTTCTGTGTGAAGGGGATGTGCCAGACACCCGGGAAGAGATTGGCAGGAGACCTGCTACTCCTTGGAGTCTAGAATGTAGGTGTGCTCCTTCAAAACCCGAGTGCTCAGCCAGACTGTATCAACTTGATAGAAGGGTGTGATTTAACTCTTTAAAAAGTACCATGGGTTTAACTGAAAAGATTGCATGCAGAGAGAGTGCAAGAGATTTACACTATCTCACTAACATAAACCTTGGTTAAACTTGAGTTTTTCTAAATAAACTGAGCTAAGTCATGAACACCCATCCCTGGAGGTGTTCAAGGCCAGGCTGGATGAGGCTTTGAGCAACCTGGTCTAGTGGGAGGTGTCCCTGCCCATGGCAGGGGGGTTGGAACTAGATGATCTTTAAGGTCCCTTCCAGCTCTGACCATTCTGTGATTCCACGTGTAGCTGGCAGCAGTGTGGCTCATCCCAGACATGTCTGGCTATGGAGCTCAGGTAGCTACCTCGGCCCCCCTGCCCTAGCCTCAAAGCAGAGCATCCACTAGAGGGGGCTTAGGCACATGCAGCTACACTCTATATTAAAACATTGACTCTGGCTTCTCAACCACCTACAGTGACTTATGATCATCTACAGCACCTGTTAATAACCTCTCTCACCCTAAGCCCCTTCTGAATCTACTGATATTCATTCCTTATGTATTAACACTGGTGGCAGCGAAGACATTTGGATGTATCCCTCACCATGACAAGTGTTGTGGAAATAAAGAATTGGTGGTTAGCAAAAATGTAAAGTGACCTTCAGGTTAGAGAATTACTGTGGACAAGTGAGGCAGCACTGCAGAAAACCCTACTGCAAGCGTGAGAAGCAGCAGGTTCAAAACACCATTTAGTGGAAAACAGACAAAACCTGAAGGTCAGTAGAATGTAAAAACAAAACTGAGATTATATAATCCTTGGTAATAAATTGGGAGCTTGCATACAGGACAGTAGCATTTGCTCTCAGCAATGCTCCCCCTTTGGCAAACTGGAGTGTGTTTGGTGTGTTTCAGCGCGCCATGTCGATCCCGGTGGGCCAGAGATCAGCAAAGTGTGACATTGATTATGGTAAAAAAAAATCATAATACTTAAGTTAATTGCAAAACTTAGCCCAGTCCCTGCCGAGGACAACAGGAACTTTGAATGACAAAAGGAACTTGAAGCTTGTCATGGGTGCTCTAGATCAGGTCTCTGCATAAACAGTTCATGCCAAACAAAACTAATTTTGTTCTGTATTAATGACTTTGATTTGGAAGCACAATAAGTATCCTACTAAATGGTGCTTTTATTCTGAACTAACATGTCCACTTCAAAGACGTTCTGTGGATAGACTCACCAAGCTAAGAATTACTCATTTAGCTTAGAAAAAGATTAATATACCAGCTGATTTTTATATAAGCGAGTTATTTCAAACAAGCCCAGTGAGGAACATTCACAAGCTTATATCAGATATATTTAAACATATTTAAGGGCTTGCTGAGGCAGGGTTGAATTAATTTTCCCATGATTTTCAACCGTAGGGAACAAAAGTCCACAACAACAATAAGCATTTGACACAGTAGAGGGGGAAAGCTGAACAAAGTTGTATTAACATTGAAGAACTGGTATTGAAAGAAAGAAAATCTGTTTAGTAGCACCATTTTCATCTTCTGTGTATAACCAAAGTTCCCATTCCTCCCACATATATGATGACTGCCCTGCTTTTAACCTGTATCTTTCTGCAGCTTGTAAGAAAGCCAATAATAATAACAAAAAATGGTTTAGTTCTGCAGAATCACTCTGCTCATTCTTATCAGTACCTTGCAGCATTGCTAGGCACAGATTAACAACCATTTAATTAAGCAGAGAAGGGGAAACATTTCAAACATCTCAGATATATCATCTGATTGTAAACAGTGCTTTTGACCAAAGGAAAGTTAGCTACAGGCAGATACTTTTGCTGGTGATTGTCTGATGTGATAGGACACCAAACAGGATTCCAGGGACAAAAAAAAA